CATTAGATCAAGGGAGATTTCACACGACAATGTGGTAACTGTAATTCCTTCTTTAAAATTAATTTTCTGAAATTTTTTTTTAAAAGGAGTGCTGAATACTCTTAGCAACAAAACATCTTCCATTATAGAAAACTGGTCACATCTTTCTTGCACATGGATGTAACCTTTCTTTGTTCACTATTATGGTGTTTTAAAATGGCTGCATCATATAGGCCTGTTTTCCTCCCTGTCTTTTATTAACTAAATAAAAAAAGAAAAAGAAAAAGAATGCACAAAATTATAAAAGAAGAAATAATAAAGAAAGCTAAAAAAAGAAACAAAAACATACAGGACATATATTCACAGACATACTTACATATGTAAAGTTGTACAGTAAACACTTCAATGAATGGAAGTCATAATCATTACAATCATCCATAGCTAATCTATATTGATAAGTTATTGATTTGTAAATTGCTGGTAACATCAATTCTGCAGACCACTGAATAGTTGGGGCCACGTGTTTGCCTTTCCAATGCTGAACAAAAGTCTTTCCACTGTAGGCAAGGTATAAAAATCCACATTCTTTGACCAGATGTCAACTCTCGTGATAGGAATAAACTTCAAAAGAATATGCATATCTGAAAATATTGAATCTCAGAATTGAGTTAATGCATGTAAGAACTTCTTTCCCAAAAGGAACAATTGTTGAACATTGTAGAAACACATATTTAAATAAAGCATTAATTTCACTGCATCTCCAACAACATAACCATTTACTCAGGCCTTTTCTATATAAATGCAATAAAGTAATTTTAAAAATATTATTAGGCTTCTTTAAATGTCTTCACTTAGTAACAGGTTACTGTGAAACCACCTATTAGGCATCTAGTGGGATTTTTCCAATCCTGTCACAACTGGAGTGGAGAACATCCACTTTGTTTGACGTGGTGATCTTTGCATCTAAATGAAGACCTCTGTTAGAGGACAACGGTTCTGAGAGGATTCTCTCTGGCTGCCATTTTAAATTCTGCATCCCTTGGTTTTTGACAAGGGCTACAAGTCCCATAGAAATCCATCAGCACATTGGGCTACTAAGGGCTCCTTTCCCAAATGAATGTTTTCAGATGTGTGTGTATGTTGGGGGGGGGGGGGGTAGCAAACTCCAGCAATTGTTCCTTGGATTTGACCCTCTAAATTTATGAATTAGCACTTTAACAGTTGAAAGATTAATGAAAGCTTTAGCAGAAGGTTATTATAGCTCATTTATAATTCCACCATCGACCTTTTGCAAATGATATCAAACATCCATTAAGCCATTAAAGCTACCTATTACTACAGGTTAATTTATATAGCACTACTCACATTCATGAAATTCAGGAACATAAATGGAATTCTCCTTTCATGTATTATTTTCTGCATATCAGATTTCTTGTCCTTTCTCTGTCACACTAACTATATAAAAAAACCATTTTCTCCTGAAACAGAATTTCAGAATGAACTGTTCCCACCTTACCAGATTGGCCCTAAGATGGTTTATTAAGTTAATAAATGGCAAGTTTTACCTGCTGAAAATGTGCCCTTGTAGCAGCTTGAAACTGGCACATTTAAAAGAAAGGGGAAGGATATAATGTATCTGAATGAAGAAGGTCTGATTTTGTGGAGTGGAGCTGATGAAGTGATGCAGGGGTGTGAAGGTTTAGATATAATTACAAATGAAAGGGCAAAATTATAAACCAGAAAGTATGAATATGTGTCACTGAGGTTGTTGTAAGTGCGTGTGAAAGTAGGAATTCAGAGGTTGGTGATAGTTGCATGTTACACTCCAGTGAGTGCTAATGGAAGAACCAGAGATGAATTCTGGAGAAATTGTGCAATGTTCTGAATGAATGAAGTTCAGGGAAGACAATCATTCTGTAAGATGACATGGATGGGTAGATGGGAACAAGATGATGGTACAGAAGAAAATAACTGGGCCATTAGGAAAGCCAAGAATGAATGAGAGCAGAGATTTTTTTTGTGAAAATCTGCTAAGAAAAAGGTCTGTTTCAACTGCATAATGTAAGAATAAGCCTATCCATACATACACATGGCAAAGGAATGAATGTAAATCTAAAAGCATTATTGATTTGATCATTTGTAATGAAAGATTGAGAGTATTAGGGAAAGAAACAAGGGTAGTGAGGTGGGATAGACCTTTATCTGGAAGAATCAGGAGTGGCCTCTGAGGAAACAGCAGACATGGAAGAAGAAGGAGGTGAAAGAAACAAGAGTGACATAGAACAATTTCAGGAGGAGAAAGTACAAGTCCTGTATAAAAAACCATTATAATTAATCTGCCAAGCAAATGAATGGAAAGTAGACTGAAGGAAAGAGAAAGTGGAGGCTGTTTAAATGAACAGAATGTAAAGTTACAAAGTGCCACAGAAATGTGTAAACTTGAGCACATAGGAAGGATGAAGAAGGATGTTTGGTGGAATGATGAAGAAAAAGAGGCTATGAATGAGAAAAAAATGCTGAAAATGATTGCTAAAAAAAATAAAGATGAGAACGATACTGTATTATGTGTATGGAGACTAAAGGTTAGTTGCAAAGAATGTAGCAAAAAAGACCAAGCCGGTCATTAAAACAGGCAAAGAAAATGAAGAGCCATTTTGGTGAAAATTAAAAAAAAAATGTTTTGGAAGTGGGTGAAGAGGGCTAAACAAAATACCTCCAGCAGCATGAATGAAATTAAAAATGAATATGATAAAATGGTATGGGGTGAATTATAAATGAGGGAATGCTGAAAGAGGTATTTTAGAGATTTGTATGGGAATTCTGAGAACCAGTTTAGTTTAAGGCACCAGGCTAG